AATCACAAAAGTTATGTGGTTTTTTAGAATGTAAGTATGCTTCATTAAATCTAAGATAACAAATTGCAACCACTGATTAAAAAGTGATTTAATTGATCATCATGTACCCAGTTGAACAATTCATATAAGTCTTATTACAAAAACAAAATTGATTTTCATTGATTGCTTTAGTATTACTCAATTATTTATCCCAATTTAGCGTTAGTTTTAGTGTTTGAGTATAATTAAATATAATAATTTATATTTTTTTTAGTGTTATATTATTAGAGAAAAGCTTACATAAGTGTAATTGAATATTAAAATACACTGAAAATTTAACAAATGTTGGTATAAAGAAGAAAAAAAAAAACTCTGTTATCCTATAAAAGATCTTGTTCTCTTTCAAATGTGAATTTGTTTTTGCTCCTATCACGTAAATCACTAATTCTCTTTTCCCACTCTTCTTGAATTTTATTTCTTATCTCTTTATGCTAGTTATTGAGAGGTTGAAGAACATCTTCAAACTAGTAGTAAGTTTTGAAATATAGTAAAGATTTTTTTTTTGAAATATTTTTTATTTAAAATTATATTAAAATATTTTATTTATTTATTTATTATATTAGCATACCAAACACAATAAAAAAACCTCTAAAAATATATCTTAAAGTTAAAAAAATTAAAAATATAACCAGATACCAAATAAAAATTACAAAATATCACCCGTAAGATTTTGTAGCCTCTTTGACATCTTTTAGAAGAGAAATATGATGAGTAAAAAACAATTCTTTTATTGGAATTATAAAATACGTTGTTAGATTTTACTAGGCTTTTATTTGCTTTTTATGATAATTTACCGAAAGATATTGTAAGTATATTTCAAAGAAAACAAAAGGAAAGTACAGAGCATTACCTGCTGATTTTGTTAACACACGTTCATCAAACTTATCATGCATAAAGTTAAATAATATAGGAAAACTCATGTTTACCGAGACTTATTTTAGCGTGAATTGTAAATTTTAACGGGGGCATGCTGGGCTGCAGCCGCAAGCACAAGCACCCGGTGCTCGACAAACATGTTTGCCACAGAGAGTTCCAACGGCTGCAGGGGGAGAGGTTATGCTCAGGGACGGACATCAAGCGCTAAAGATGTCATCCACGGGAGTAAGGGCAAGACCCGCGTGATAGGCTGCTGATCCAGGCTAGCAGGTTTGTAGACCCTCCCGTCAAGGGTCTGCATATTGACGCGGTGGTCAATAAATCAGCACCCCTACGGTCTGCTGTTACTTAGGTCCGAACGAGGGCCAAGTATTATGGGTCAGAATGAGTATCCAGCTTTCGGACTCAACAGTCTTGGATTATATGTTTGGAATCACTTTTATTAGGTCCTGACATGACAGCTATAAAAAACAAATAATAATAATAATAATTATTATTATTATTATTGTTTTTTTTATTGTTAATAATGATTTAAAAAAAATTATTATTGCCAAAACTTTGGATAAACAAGATTAATAATATTATTAATATGATAAATATTATTATTTAAATTCTAAATATTATTATCTTTATTAAAATTAAAAGCGTTAGCATCAAGAGTAGAATGTTACTATTGTGATACAAATATTAACAATAACATTATTTTTATTATAAATATTGTAATTTTGGTTATAATTAATATAATTCATACAATAATTCAATAATTTGTAGAGAATGTTATGGATATTGATTTGAAGGGTGAAATTAAAAATTAACATAATTATTATTATTCTCGTCGTTGTTATTATTATTAGTAAAGTTTTTTTAAAATTATTAAAAAAAGATTGTTTAGCCATAGCAAGGATATTGATTATATTTTAATTATTAATATTATGATTTCTCTTATAAATAATTTCATTTTCATTTGTATTAATAATATTAAAAATATTATTATTTATCGTAGAAACATTGTTATTTTAAAAATATTATTAATATTGAGTTTTGCAGGACGTTTCATCCAACTCTCCAGGATTATATGTCGAATTTATTTTTATTGGGTCATGTATCCAAACCCAACTTTCTTGAGTTCGAGTAATAAACCAATTCTTTTAGATGATACATCCATACCCAATACTCTGGACGAGGAACAAGTCTGCAGGAACAAGAGGAGAACTCAAGTCTTTTGGAAGTACCCATCACTCATGATCATGTGTTCAAAATCAATTTTCTTAGGTCAATCGTTAATACTGAATTCTATTTGATTAACTGTTTATACCCACCTCTCTTGAGTAGTGCGTTCAGTTTCAACTCTCCTGAGTCCGACCAAGAACCTAAATCTATGAAATCTGAAAACGAACTCAATTCTCCTGGATGCAGACCCAATCATATGCTCTTAAATCCTTCAAAACTCTTTTAATTTAGCGAGCCTCTTTCGATGCCTCGAGTTGCATTCTGTGTCAAGATTTCGTCATCTCTTTGAAGGACAAAGCCCAAATAGCTGAGGTGGTGGCATCTTGGCGCCACCATCTCATCCAATTTAATCTTCCGCCAACCTTTTGCATTTAAATCAGTCCCTCGCTCCCGACTTAAAATTTCTATTTAAGAGGAGAGTGTACGTATTCTATTTTCATTTCAATTCACCGGCACATCCAATTAAATTCTTAAATTGAGTCAATTGTGGCTAACAAGTTTAGCTAACATGAAATCGAAATCTTTATGTCAAGCTTCCGTCTAAAGACTAAAGCGGCTGCAACTATGCAAATCCAAGAAAATTTTTTGTTTGAGTTTTAAACCATTCGTTTTTATGAAAAATATTTATTTATTTGATGTAATTTTAGAAATGAGTTTTTAAATGAAAAAAGCTGAACTCCTAATAACATGCAAAAAACAAACGATGCATAGTCTTTTATCTTTTTGAAAAATAATAATAAGTGAGGTGGATAAGAGATCATCCATCCTTTTAAGTAGTAAAAAATTAAGTAGATCCAGATATGCATGTTGGGCTAGAAGGCCCACGTGTTTGGGTTGTTTTGCTTTGATGCACAAGACCTGATTAAGCTCTTTTTTTTTTTTTGCTATTTTACATTTAGTTTTTTCAAAAAAACAAAACACATTCTCTAACCTAATTGGGTCTTTTATCCGTGTAACATGTTAATGAGTTAATCCATAATATTCGATTTATTATTTTTTATTGGTTTTGTATTTTTTTATCATTCAATTTTTAAAAAAAATACAATTTCACAGTTTTTTTATAAATGATGTATTTTTTTTATTCAACTCAAACATAAAAAAAACGCAATTTGTTATCAATACCAATGATCTATTCTTTAAAATTCTACTCAAACCTAAAAGATTGTAATTTAATTACTTGTTGTCTGTAATCTTTCTTTGTTATCTGAACTCTACATACCTAGCATTATCCTTCTTCCTTTTTTTACCTTTAAAAGATATATTATTTCATGCAAAAAATTATCATGTATTTTATTATTATATAATTAAATAAAAATAATATTTGGAATAAAAAAATTACTAGATTCGATGACGTGCAAAACTAGTACCATGAGTATGCTTGATCGATTTGAGCTTACTTTATTTCTTTAATCTAATGCTATTTTTTATTTATTGATTGATTTTATTCTTAAATTTTGAGTTAATCTAGAATTAATATTTCTAATTTATTTCTTTCAAGATCAACTTTATTGGTTTTAGAGAATAACTAAAATTAATTGATATAGATTAATTTTTTCTATCCTGATATCAAATGAAAATATCATTAAACTCATGGTTTAAATATATTTTCCTAGAAGAATAGTCACCAATATATTAATATTTTTTAATGCTTTAAAATCATTTTGTTCTAGGCCATCGTTTTAACGAGTTAGTTCTTAACATCTGAGCAACTTTTTATTTTTATTTGTTTAATGCCTTTTTCACTCTTTAAATTTTTTATTAAAAAAATATAATTTCATTATTTACCATCGATTGTTTTATTTTTTATTATCTAACTCAAATGTAAAAAAATTTAATTTCACTATTTGTTATTAATAATCTATATTTTTCTATTTCAGATCTACATATCACTGTTTTTTTACTTTTTAAAAAATATATTGTTTCATATTGAAAATAATATTATGTGCCTTATGGTCATGTAATTAAATAAAAAATAATATATGGGATAACATTTTTATTAAATTTGATGACGTGCATGACTTGCGACGCGAGTTTACGTTATTGACTCGAGTTCACTTTATTTTTTTAATTAAATATTATTTTCTTACTAATTTCATTATTCAACATTGAGTTATTAGAGATTAAAATTTTCAATTAATTTTTTTTCAAGGTTATTCCTGCGAGTTTCACAAATTAGCCCAAATTAATTCAAATAGATCAAGGCAATGTTTTGAAACGCGATTAAAACCGTATTTAAAAAAAATAATTTTTTTATTTAAAATAATTTTTGTATATTTTTAAATCGTTGGTATGATTATGTCAAAATATTTTTTTTAAAATAAAATAATATTTTTAAATAAAAAATACTTTAAATCACAATAACTATCATATTTTCAAACATCAATTAAATATTTTTTTTATCATAATATTATATCAAAATATCATTCAATTTATAATTAAAATTTATTTATTTTTAAAAAACACGTTATCATTTATTTTTTAGCGCTTTATATTTTATTTCTGCTCTGGCTCGTGGGGTAGTAGCGGCAATGGAATAGTTGCAACTGTGCCACGATAGTAGTTTCATGAAACGTGTCGGTGTCTACAGCTCAACCTCACTAAAGGCAAAGGTAGTCTCCGCCTGCAAAACTGACAACAACCCCGATCCCCGATCCAGGAACTTAATTGCCCCTCAACTACCATAATGGGCAAGTCCCATCTGCATCGTCAATTTCAACTGTGGACCCACTCGAACTTCAGCGGCCCAGATCCAACAAATCAGGTCACCACATTAAATAATACAAGTAGCATTGATAAATGTCACCATGCCCCCCTCTCTCGGTCTTATTGTTATATACCAAAGCCCTGGCAGGCTTATTTTTAATCACTCAATAACCCAAAAGAATATACTTTTTTATCAAAGATGAGAAGCCAGTTCCTTTTTTTCCTGGGCGTTTTGTTGCTCTTTGCTTCCAGTGCTTCTCTTTTTAGGGCTGTTAACGGGGATGGTGTGACGGAGGAGTGTAGCAGTGACTTCCAAAAAGTAATGGGTTGCCTGAGCTATGCTACCGGGAAAGCGAACACGCCCACAAAAGACTGTTGCCTTTCAGTGCAAAATATTAAAGAAAGTGACCCTAAATGCTTGTGTTTCATCATGCAACAAACAAGTAATGGTAGTGCACAGATCAAGAACTTGGGTATCCAGGAGGCTAAGTTGCTCCAGCTCCCTACTGCTTGCCAGTTGCAGAATGCTAGTCTTAGTTTCTGCCCTAGTGAGCACCTCTCTCTCTCTCAACCAGCCATTGATTTCATGCTCTTTATTATTGTTGTTGTTTTTCAAGTATTGGTTTTTTGGAGGTAAGTTAGCTTTAGTTCCCATAAAATATCCTTCAGATTTTGTCCCCATATATATATATATATATATATATATATATATATATATATATATATAAACGAGCAAAAATTCATCAAAAAAATCAGATAGCATGAAAGTTAGGTCTAGAAAACAGAAGAAAAAAAAATATTGCAAGAAAAGAAAACCCAATATGCTGCAACGCGGCTCCAGCTGTCTTTGTTTGATCCACTAAGCGTTTAACATAGGCATACACTCGTGGCATCAGAGATTTAGGTGAATCACTAACTTGGCCGTTTAGAAATGCCGTTCACTGCTATTTTGGTCATGATCCATACTTGACCAGTATTGATCAGTAACCAGTGATATCCTTATTTATTTCTAGATTGGATATGCAAAATTGTACAAATATGACTTGAAAATTTCAATATATCTGATATAAAATAAAAGGCCGTTCTAGGTCTCTAGGGAGTTGCTCTAACTTTCATATCGTCCCTGTCAATGAACAGAGCTTCTAGGCATATCTCCTAGCTCTCCAGACGCTGCCATCTTCACAAATGCTTCAACAACAGCAATTCCTGCTGCATCAACATCAACAGGAACATCACAATCAGAGAAAGCAGGTGACTCCAGTGGATTCCGGCATAGAACACACCTTGCAGGTCTTTTCGTGATTGTTGCTGCCATCTTCGTATTTGCTTCCCCTGCTGGGTCGGCCTCCATGTTCCAGTTTTAGGGGTGAACAGCAACAGCACCTAATGAAAGCAATGAAAACGAAGCTTGGGTTCCTTTTGTACCTTTTCTTTTGAATTTTCAGGATTTAATCCAACTCTCGTTGCAAGTTGTGTAATCTTGTCTCCTGCACTTAAGCTAACATTCGCCTATCAGGCTATTATCTCCAAGCACGAATGTTCTGATATCAGGATGCTGACTATATTGCTTCGCTATCTAAATGTGTGCATGAGCTGGCGTCCCTCGCATGTTTGACCTCGATTATGGCTTTGTTAAGCCGCAGAGCTGGCTTATGGGTTCGCGTTGCGTGGTATTCAATTAAACAGATATCCAATTCATCAAAGATATGGACCTGGAAAATCAAGCATGTTCACCGGAAAAAATGATAAAATCAAGTACAAACAGTCTCTTTACTGGAATTTAGAAGCTTGCTTCCTCGTTAAAACACTTTTTCGTTCAAAAGATGGCAACAGAATGGGAATTGTGAATAGAACGAAACGAGTTCTTGCGAGGAACAGGGACAATGAACTCATCTGGTCAGGTCAAAAGCGAATACCCACCAAATCCTTTCAATTCAAACTGTTGGATTTTGCATATATACAATACGGAAACCGTAAAGTAGTTCTTAGTATCTTGTTGGATGGATTTATGTTTATGCAAGGTTTATACAAGTATCTTATTAGACAGAGTTATAGTTATTTAAGATTTATATATTAACAGTTGTTTAAGATTTATATAAAAATTATATTAATTTAAAATTGAGATGATGTAAATTATAGATCATTCAAGTTTTCATACTATAATAATAATTTATATGAATCACTAATAAAAAAATTTTAAACTTAATCGGGAAGATATGATATATAATTGAATGTTAACTTTTTTTTTTTTAATGTTTTATGTATTTCTTTATTATACTTTACTTATGAAAAATAAAAGATAACTTTTTATTTATAGAAAAAATTGAAAATTATAAAATATTAATTTGTCTCTTAAATAATATTATATATATTATACTCTACTTAAATATATATTATATTCTATTTTTTTTTCAAATCTTATTTTACATTTCTTGAAATTAATATTATTTGAGAACATATAAAATATGTTTTCTAGTTTATCTAAAATGATGAATAATTTTTTAATTACTTAAATACCTTTATATAATTTATATCATATTTAATATCTATCAATTTATTATCTTTGATTATGATAATACGTAGCATAATCAAAATATAATATTTTTTATATAAGATAATATAATGATTATTTAAGTCTAATAATTATTTACACAATAATCTTATTACGTGAATTTTTTTATAAACATATGTGATTTTTCTATATAAAATTTTTATATGGATTAGTTTAGTATACATATCATCTTACAAACACCTGCATGTTAATTCTAAATAATTCTAAATATCTCCTGTACCTCAACTTATAATAAAAAAATATTTTATCCTATAAAAAAAATAACATAATATGAATGAGTTTTAACAACTTTAATTAATTAATATTCAATTTTAATATAATATTAATTAAAAATATTTAAAAACAATACTAATACTAAGATGAAATAAAAATTTCACAATCATAAAATTTTTATAATTGCCTTTGCTAATATTTTTTAATAAAATATTTAATAAATATTAAAGATAAATAATATCATATTAATAAATAAAATATATTTACTTAAATAAAATTAATGATATATACATCCAACCGATTTATTATTGAGAATATAAGCTGACACATGTACCAATAAGAAAAGATCCCTTCAAATATCCCTTAAAATCAAACGCCAATGGAAAAAGAAAGCGCAGAATCCCCACGCTCATCTGCGCAGCTAGCTGGTCTAAAATCCAATTAATGCAAGACCACCGCCTTTAATGAGAGTTAAGAACAGGGGCAGGTGACAGCAACCAAAAATCATAAAGTATTCTACCGGTTTTTCTAATTTTGTTTTAGTGTTATATGATAATTTTAATTTATTAATGTTAAAAATTAAAAAGAAATTATTTTAATATTTTATTTTTTTAAAGTTATTTTTAAAAAACTTACATGCATAAAACACACACTTTAAGGCCCCTCGATTTCCATGCTCTCTTAATTAGAATGGCACCCCCCGATTGCTTCCGATGATCATGTGAGCTTGTAAGCCTGTGAAATAAATATCATACCGCCACAAAGCCAAAGAAAATATAGCTATCAGAACTAGCAGCTCAGAACACTATGCGAGTCATATTGATAGAGCTGCTGCGACGTATCAACGTCATCAATCTTGTGAAACAATCCAGATCATTTAAATATGAACAAAAAATTAATAAAATAGAAGGAGAATGAAGGGTGGTGTATTGTCAAGTGTTAGGAGATCCAAACATTCAAACACACACAAATTTACGTGGTTCGGCAACTTGCCTACTCCACGGAGCTACTGGTTTGTATTAATCAAGCTCAAAAGCAATACAAACAACAAAACAAGGAGGAGGAGAAAACTTCTCAACTCAACTCAACTCTCACCCTTAGCTCTCTCTCTGTGTTTCTCTCTATCTCGTGGTGCTCATCAGCTATCAATGGCACTCTCTATTTATAGCTGATGTGGGAGACAAGTTTCTTCTTTAGTCAACAATGGTGGGCAACAATTTCTTTGGTTAGGCACCCACCATGCAACCACCATTGACTTTAGCCATGTCTAACATGGCTGCCACCAACCATGTTGTGTCCACACCCAACAATCTCCCACTTGGACACAAATGGTGTTAGGTCTGTCTTTTAATCTTCAAGACCCACTGAAGCTTTACACAGCTTCAGTTTATCGAGAGTAACTCCTTTGGTTAACATGTCGGCTGGATTCTTGCTTCCACAGATCTTTTCAAGTAACAGTTGTTCATCGTCGAGCAATTGCCTGATGAAGTGATATTTGATCTGTATGTGCTTTGTTCTGGAGTGAAATGCTGGATTCTTGGCAAGGAAGATTGCACTCTGACTGTCACTATACAAAGTACCCTTTCCATGCATCTTGCCCAATTCTTGCAGGAAACTCTGTAGCCATACTATCTCTTTTGCGGATTCTGAAACTGCGACATATTCAGCTTCTGTCGTTGAAAGAGCAACTATCTTTTGCAAGGTAGAACTCCAAGAAACAGCAGTGCCTCCTAGAGTGTATATATAACCTGTAGTACTCTTTCTGCTATCAACATCTCCTGCTAGATCAGCATCTACAAAGCCTTCAAGTTTCAAACCGCCAGCTGTGAAAATAAGACATGTCTCCGATGAGCCTTTTAAGTACCTCATGATCCATTTCACTGCCTCCCAATGCTGCTTTCCAGGATTGCTCATATATCGGCTTACAACTCCCACTGCATGGGCAATATCTGGTCTAGTACAGACCATGGCATACATCAAGGAGCCGATAGCTGAGGCGTATGGGATCTGGTCCATGTATCCACGTTCTAGCTCAGTTTTTGGTGACTGGTCTTTACTGAGCTTGAAATGATTCCCCAGAGGTGTACATACTGGCTTAGCATTATCCATACTAAACCTGCTGAGAACCTTCTTGACATACTCTGCCTGTGAAAGCTTTAGTATGCCTTTGTCTTTGTCTCTGATGATTCTCATGCCAAGTATTTGTTTAGCAGCTCCCAGATCCTTCATTTCAAACTGTTTTGACAACTGTTGCTTTAGCTTGTCAATCTCTTCCATGCTGGAACCTGCAATTAACATATCATCCACATATAGCAGTAGAATGATATAGGAGTTGTCAAAATGTTTGACATAGCAACAATGATCAGCCTGACATTTTGTGTATCCCGTACTACTCATGAAGTTATCAAACTTCTTGTACCACTGTCTTGGAGCTTGCTTCAAACCATATAGACTCTTCTTTAGTTTGCAAACTTGACTCTCCTTTCCTGGTATTGCAAACCCCTCTGGTTGTTGCATGTAAATGTCTTCCTCCAATTCTCCATGAAGAAATGCTGTTTTTACATCTAATTGTTCAAGATGTAAATTTTCTGCAGCTACTATCCCCAGAACAACTCTGATTGTTGTAAGCTTCACAACTGGAGAAAATATCTCAGAATAGTCGATCCCCTTCTTTTGCTGAAACCCTTTTACAACAAGTCTTGCTTTGAACCGTTTGCTTCCGTCATGCTCGGTCTTTACTCTGTAAACCCACTTGTTTTGCAGGGCCTTCTTTCCTTCAGGCAGTTTGGTTAACTCCCAAGTCTTGTTCTTCAGCAATGACTCCATCTCGTCCTTCATGGCTAACTCCCACTTGCTCGAGTTTCCATCTTGTAAGGATTCTTCATAATTTAATGGTTCACCACCATCGGTCAGCAAGATATAATTCAGTAGAAGTGTGAACCGTTGTGGAGGCTTTATAGTCCTTGAAGACCTGCGAACAGCTGGTTCACTTGGCTCTGCACTATCTTGTGTAGAAGTGGTGGGTACTGAAGTGCTTGAACTATCTTGTGTGGACTCTTGAGTGGTAACATCAGGAAGCCCTTCTAATTGTATGAATTCAGATTTCTGTGGACTCGTATCTGAATCAGTTATCTCTAGTTCTGTACTTGATTTGTCTTTGTACAAAACTTTCTCGTTGAAGATCACGTTCCTGCTTCTGATAATCTTCCTGTTTTGATCATCCCAGAACCGAAATCCAAATTCTTCATCTCCATAGCCAATAAAGAAACATTTCTTTGATTTGGCATCCAGCTTGTTGCGAGCATCAGAGTCTACATGCACATAGGAAACACACCCAAAGACTTTTAGGTGAGCAAGCTGTACTTCTTTTCCTCTCCAGACTTCCTCGGGCAGTCTGAACTCCAAAGGTACTGATGGTCCACGGTTGATCAAGTAAACTGCAGTATGAACTGCATCAGCCCAGAATGTTTGAGGTAGCCCAGAATGCAACCTCATGCTTCTAGCTCGTTCATTGATGGTCCGGTTCATCCGTTCAGCAATACCATTCTGTTGTGGTGTGCCTGGAACTGTCTTTTCCATTCTGATACCGTTGACAGCGCAATACTCCTTGAAACCTCCATCAATGTATTCTCCTCCATTATCAGATCGTAAGCATTTCAGCTTCAAACCTGATTCAGTCTCAACCATAGCCTTCCATTTCTTGAATGTGTCAAACACATCAGATTTATTTTTCAGAAAGTAGACCCATACCTTTCTGCTAAAGTCATCAATAAAAGTGACATAGTACCGAGAACCGCCAAGAGATGCTACTGGAGCTGGTCCCCATAAATCTGTGTGCACCAGTTCTAGTTTTCTTGGTCTTAAGGTCCTGCCAACCTTTAAGAAACTGAGCTTCTTCTGTTTTCCGAGAACACAGCTTTCACAAATGTCTAGATCAACATTTTTTAATTCTGGCAGCTTTCCCTTTGACTGAAGTATCTTCATCCCCTTTTGACTCATATGGCCGAGTCTGCAATGCCATAGCTGTGCCTGATTTTCTGCTTCAGTAGAGGCAATTATATCTGCTGATCTTGTGGTCATATACAGGGTGCCGGTTTTCTTTCCACGAGCCAAAACCATTGCTCCCTTTGATACCTTCCACATTCCTCCAGAGAAAAGGATTGAATGGCCACTATCATCAAGTTGTCCGACCGAGATCAACTTCTTCTTTAGTTCAGGAACATGCCTTACATTTTGCAAGTTCCATGTAGATCCATTCATTGTCTTGATTTGCACATCTCCTATACCCACAATCTCCAATGGTTGTCCATCGGCCAGATAGACTACCCCATAATTTCCAGCAGTGTAATTTTGCATCATTTCATGGTGTGGAGTACAGTGAAATGAAGCTCCAGAATCAAGAACCCAATCATCAATAGGACTATGTACAGCAAGGATCAAAGCATCTTGTACCTCGTTTGTAGTGGCATTTACAGAATCAGCTTCAGGTTTCTTTGGTTTTGTGCAACTCCTCATAAAATGGCCAGGTTTGCCACAATTCCAACATTCAACCTGCTTCCTGGGTCCAAACTTGCTTTTGCTTCTGTACCTGGATTTTGATCTGCCTCTGGATAAGCCTCTGTCTTGTCTCCTTCCTCGAGTGTTGATGTTGAAAGCTGAACCTGAACTTGAGCTTTCACCCGAGTCTTTTCTTCGTACTTCTTCAGCTAAAATCAGGTCTCGGATATCATCATACTTTAATTTGGATTTTCCAGCTGAGTTGCTTACGACTGTTCTCATACCTTCCCAACTGCTTGGAAGTGAAGCTAGCAAAATAAGTGCTCGGATCTCATCATCAAACTCAATTTCAACGGATGACAATTGATTTGTGATGGTGTTGAAATTATTAAGATGCTGTGTAACAGAGGTGCTTTCTGTCATCTTCAGGTTGAACAGCTTCTTCATCAAGTGCACTTTGTTATTTGCTGATGGCTTCTCATACATCCCAGACAAGGCTTCCATCAATCTTGCTGTGGATTTCTCTTTTGTAACATTATGAGCAACTCTTCTTGACAATGATAGCCGGATAATGCCCAAGACTTGTCTATCAAGAATTTGCCAATCTTCTTCTAACATGTTTTCTGGCTTGCTCCCCAACAGAGGAAGATGAAGTTTCTTCCCATATAGATAATCTTCAATTTGCATTTTCCAATATCCAAAATCAGTTCCATCAAATTTTTCAATTCCTGCAGCCTTTATTTCATCAGCCATTTTTACTCTTTCTTGGATTTGAATCTCAAAAAATCTGACCTTACAGATGTGTCCGGAATGGCCAAAAATGCTGGAAACGACACTGAGATCACCCAAATCGGACTTCGGATGGCTCCGATTTAAACAATCAAAACTTGAGATAACAGGACGCTGCAGATGAAGCCACGTGGCAGGAGGAATAGTCGCTGCGCCACACCGGATCAAAACCCAGTTATGCTGACGTGTCAGGCACGTAGGCAATGTGGGACCCACATAATCTGACGTGGCAGGGCCGCGGAAATTTTCGGCTGATGTGGCAGTGCTGACGTGTCGATGACGTGGCATGGATGACGTGGCTGGTTGACCGGTCAGACGGCTGACGTGGCAGGGCGCGCGGCTGCTGACTGTGCTGGATGGCTGACGTGGCTGCTGAC